ATCGGCATTACATTAGCGCTCGTTGTGGGAATAAACCGATTATCTTCCTGTGATTAAATGTATTTCTTACCACATATCTCTGCATATAAAGTGTAATAACGGCAACCGAGCACCGAATGAAATATTAGAATGAAAAGAAACATCGCAAGACACGACTCCCAGCCTCCGACGTCCTTGGGGCATGACTCTTAGGCTGTTTGTCGTCGTGCCCTTGAACACCGAATTTTTGTCGGGGCAATTTTGATTCTAGTTTAAAAAGTAAGAGGCGCTTTGATCATAGTATATCTTGCCAGCCGACCCGCGTTTTATTTTAACCTACTCTCCAGCCCTCCCCCCTTTATTTTTGCTACTGTCACAAACTCTTCTACTTTTCTTTCGTTCTTTTACACTCCCTTCCTCCTTTTCAAATACAGGGTAGAAAACTGGTCTGGTTAACATCCTTGTATTTCCTTTATCTCTTTCTCTCTCTCTCTCTCAAGATGTCAACTAGGGCTGACCGTGAATAGCGACGATGTCAGTATTTCGCACAGAAAGATATATCACGATAAACATGCACTGTGAAAAGAAAAAAAAAAGCGTATGTAAGCAAAGGTTATCCGCGTAGTCCAAAGACTGTTCACACCTCGTTTCTTTCAGCTCGGCAAACGCTCGAGACGATATTGCGATACACTCCGCGACGCCGAGTGAATTCTCTTTGAAGTGCTCGCTCCTTTGAACTTTCCGATATTGCATGCTTCAGCAATGGATGATCTTCCTCTAACCCTTTGACATTTTCCAATGCTTTCTTCGAAGGCCTTTTACCTGAAGTCAGCGGAATGCGAAGACATCACTTATATAGCGTTCCCTGAAAGAGGGCTTCGCCGTCAGCAAAGGGCACTTCCAGATGTTTCGACCACAGCCGCTTCGAGGGTGAAGGAGAAAGAAAGAAAGAAAAGAACAGTCGTTCGTCTTACAAATTGTAGGCGTTGGCCAAGCGCATTCTTTAATGTCATACTTGTTACTATTTGTGGCATCATCTGAAGCTGTCAGTGCTGGTACCACGGACCTCGTTAACGACGAGTTCTGGCGCTTCCATTGAACATGCATGCGAGCAGGCAGAGTGCCGTGGTCTCACCGTTGCACAACCAGCGAGTCTCCACAGAGGCAATCTTGTTGTTAACAGCGACTGCAAGAGGGCGAGGCATGTATGGATCCACTGATCGATCACCACATCGCTGAGCGGGGACGAGTCGTTTTGAGAGCTCCGACATTCGCGACGAGCTAGCTGGCAATTTTTCAGGGGCGATGCTCCTTATCGCGTCACCCATTATTATTTGTATAACCACCGGTTGCACATACCCGAGAGTTTGGGTATGTTCCACAGGGGATTAGCTTTTAAGTGGCGAAGCTCCTTAAGCCGTAGGTCGTGCGTCCTCTATGTATGTAGTAGGTAGCCACCTGTCGTTTAGTTCTTGGAATGTCGGCTAGATGATGGTACCTATATATTATCAATATATGATGAAAAAATACGAGCTGGTGGTACTTGGAGTGTTCACTAGATGGACGGACATACAGACGGACAGACGCACGGACGGACAGATAATCGCATGGTTGGACGGACGGATATATGCACGAACGGACGGACAGACGCTTCGCCCCACTCACCATCATTCAGTCCGTGGATATGCTGTGAATTTTATGTGCCCTCTTTCGTTAGTGTTTTTCACGGCGAATATGTCCATCGCTTGCCGTTGTAGTACATGTAGTAATAGTTGTCAGTAGTAGTAGCAGTATCAATAGCTAATATAGGTAGGTAGTAGTAGTAGCAGTGGACGCAGTAGTAATTAGTCGTAGTAGCGCAGTAGCACTAGTTAGTACTAGTAGTCATGGTAGTACTAATTAGTAGTACTGATTAGTAGTACTAATTAGTAGCAGTACTATGTAGTAGTGGTGGTGGTCTGCAGTAGGAGTAGTAGCAGCAGCTGGGATTTCATTTTATCGATTAGAAGCTACGTACGGCCCAGCAGACGCAGTCAAAATCTTCTACGTCATGGTGTTTGGTGCGAGAATCTCAAGGTAGCGCCACCTCCCGCATTTTCTTTTCGCGCGTTTTTTTTTTTTTTCTCGCTTACCAAGCGTTGTCTAGCGCTAAAAATGGGTTTTCGGGATTGTGAAAGTGTACTTTACTAAAACACGAAAAATCCTTTTCTTCTTTAGTGTCCCTTCAACGTGCACTGACAGCGCACAGTACACGGACCGCTGGCATGATGTCGTCTTAGTAGTAGTAGTAGTAGTAGTAGTAGTAGTAGTAGTAGTAGTAGTAGTAGTAGTAGTAGTAGTAGTAGTAGTAGTAGTAGTAGTAGTAGTAGTAGTACTAGTAGTAGTAGTAGTAGTTGTTGTTGTTGTTGTTGTTGTTGTTGTTGTTGTTGTAGTAGCAGTAGTAGTAGTAGTAGGCACAGACGTCACGCAGGCCAGGGGACAAGAAGGGGATGGTGTAAATAAAAAAACAAAAAGATGATGCATAGCATAGCATCGCGCAAGCCACCGTATATATGCCACACACTCTCGTACTTACAGATATAGAATTTCCGGTGGTACTCACGGCGTAGAACGCGCTCATCACTTTCATTTTTTCGCTATGTCTTTAACGTATATATATGCATATATATCCCCTCGTTGAACTGCCATATTCGCGAGAGCAGAAATTGCCGAGTCACCGATCATTATGTGCACGTGACGTGACACGCAGGGGTAAATGCGATCACTTCCACATTGCGCTTTGTCATTCAAGCTTTAGATTCGAAGCAGATTACGGCGGAGTTCAATCCGGTGTGCGGCGTCACCACCCTTATTGCGCATGAAGGACAGCTGGCCCTAGCACTGCCGGAACGAACTGACCCGCCAGCGCGCTCCGGCCTGCGTGAGAGACCGGGTAAGAGTAAGAATCTGTGGACCCTCCCTCTTACAATCTCTCAGCAATGACGCGATGGCGTCGGGGAACGAGGTTCTCTAGACGCGCTATGAACCCATGTGCTACCACCCACTACTCAAACGCATGCTAACATCCCTCCCCATCCTCCACCCTCCAAAAAACAACGCACTGATCCCCCAACCCCCCCCTCCGGATCGATCGATATCAACGCGAAGCTGAAAAATCTGTCCGACCAATTCGACATGAAGCTCCAGGAACTTGAAAGTCGCATCGAAAGTGAATTCAACGCCCTTATCAGTGACATAACTACAAAATTAGAGGCACGGATAGAACAATGCATGGAAACTATTCTCCAGAGGATGGTTTGCCTTCTAGAGACACGCCTCACACAGCTCCCTCCGCTTGCCACCCCCTTTCCCCTCACAGAACAACGTGCCGCCACGGATCCCCACACCTCTATTAACGAGAGTCTAACACCGCTCATACATCCCCCTACGCTCCATTATGGCAGTGCGGGCCAATAATAATTCCATTCATATCATAACATGGAACTGCCGTGGCTTTCGGGGCAAGCGCGCGCCCCTGCAGCTTCTACTTCCTACTCTCTCCCCAACGCCCCAAGTCCTTCTTCTCCAAGATACTGCCACACAGGCCACACTTCCTAGTTACAGCTCCACACACTCTGACACCACAAACGCACCCAGAGCGTCTACCCTTGTGCACCGCGCTCTCACATACAAGACACATTACATCACATCAGACACACCCTGTGTAATAACAGAAATTATCCACCACACACATACCATTCCCTCCATATTTATTGCCAACATTTACCACCCCCCCATCCCAACCGATGGCCTCGCTGGATTCCCTCTTCCGGGAGCTGCATCGACTGGCGGGGAAACATTCCTTGCTAATCGGCGGCGATCTCAACAGTCAACATACTGACTGGGGATACAAAACAACTACACATAGAGGTCGCAGGCTTTGGCTGCTCATGCAGAACCTCCAACTCTCCGTCCACAACAACTTTCAGACACCTACACGCATAGGCAACAGTGTCAGTATGGACACTAGTCCGGATCTGGTGCTTAGTCGCTCCCTCCGTACTGTCACATGGACGAGAACACAGCACACACTGGGCAGTGATCACTACATTATACAAGTCACTGTCCCGTTCAAACCACCCCGGCACACATACATGACACACAAACTCATTAAGTGGGACGCTCTTCGTGCTGCGCGTACCACCCACGCAGACAATCCCATAACCGACATCAACGACTGGGTGGAATCTCTTCAGACTGACATTCAACATCACACGCAACTAATTGAAACCACCACAGACACTCCAACACTAGACAACCGACTCGCTCACCTATGGGATGCCTACCACAGCCTTCTAGAGCGGTGGAAACGGGGTAAACATAACAGGACGCTAAAGAAACGCTTAGCCACTCTACAATCCCAAATCCAAATACATTCGGAGGAGCTGTGCCGCTCCAATTGGGGGCAGGTATGCGACGACATTGCTGGCAGACTGACCACCAAAAGGGCGTGGCATCTCCTCCGACACCTCCTCGACCCATCGCACACGAAAACCACTACCCAGCACCACGTCACCCGGCTTATACACGCACACATGGACAACCCCAATGATCTTTTGGATACACTCCGCGACACCTACACATCGCCCGGCATACCAACTTCTCTTCCCTTATACACAGGACAACCGAATGCCGAACTCGACACAGATATAACCGAGGCGGAGGTCAAAGCCGCGCTGTTGACTCTCCGCACTAAATCCGCACCCGGAGCCGACTTGATTACCAACACAACACTGCGCAACCTGGATGACAAATCGATCACTCGCATCACGGAGTACTTCAACCAGTGTTGGAAGGAAGGAACGCTTCCCCAGTCCTGGCGTCACGCGAAAGTAATGTTCATACCGAAGCCCAACAAACCACTTACACTCCAAAACCTTCGCCCAATCTCATTAACTTCGTGTTTGGGCAAGCTTTTCGAACATGTTGTACTGGCGAGGCTTTCACAGCATATGACAGACCGTGACTTATACCCTCACAGCATGGTTGGCTTTCGCCCCCATTTGTCCACTCAAGATGCCATGCTACAAATCACTCACGACATCTTCGACCCGCTCATTCCGGGCCACACAAAGGCAGTGCTGGCTCTGGACTTATCCAAAGCCTTTGATCGCGTTGAGCATCATGCGATCCTGACAGCACTTTCTCCACTGAACGTGGGTACACGTACGTACACTTACATTCAGGCCTTTCTCACAGCACGCACGGCCGAACTTCAGTTCGGCCCGCTCACCCACCCAACATACACACTAAAAATCGTCGGCACCCCTCAAGGGTCCGTCCTCTCACCTTTCTTGTTTAATATCACCCTCATCCCCCTAGCTCGACAATTGGCAACTGTTCCTCATCTGAAACATACCCTATACGCAGACGACATCACGCTCTGGTCTACCCATGGCAGTGACGGTGACATACAGGACACCATCCAAACAGCCGCCAACCTAACGCAAAATTATGCAGTTAGCGTAGGACTAACCTGTTCTCCAGAGAAGTCCGGACTGCTCTGCATCCGCCCCAAAAGCCGCAACTCCCCCTCCCCACCCATCGTCATCGAGCTGGATGGCAGATCGGTACCAGAGGTCGACACCCTCCGGATACTGGGCATGCATATCCAGAGTGATGGGAAGAACACAAACACAATCCGGAGACTCAAGCAGGTTGCAGGGGCGATCTCGCACCTCATCCGCCGGGTCTCAGGCCGTTACCGAGGCATGAAGGAGGGCGACCTATGTCGCCTTATTCATGCCTTTGCACTCAGCCGTGTGCTCTACTGCACCCCCTACCTCCAACTCTCTCGCCGCGACACTGAAACATTGGACGCCCTCATCCGTCGGGCATACAAAGTAGCCCTCCACCTTCCCATAAGTACACCTACCGATCGACTTCTCAAGTTAGGCCTTCACAACACTATCGGGGAACTTATAGACGCGCACCGCCAAGCACAATACCTTCGTCTCACACAAACCGACACTGGTCGGCATATTCTACATTCTCTTGGAATCCAGATACCCGCCAATGATCCCACATTACTCCCCATACCAAGACTGTCACACCTGTCCCGTTTATTAGGGAGGCGATCGCCGGGCTAATTCCAAGAGCCGAAGTATCGGCCCCCCGAACCGCACCACGAAAGCGTGGACAATTTAGAAGTGGTCCTTATTGGTGCGCCAGCGGACGCCGGCTGTGGCCCAAAGAACAAGACAGAGTCGAGAGTTGATAAACAAAACAAATATTATATTCTCAAAAATGGCAGATCGAAAACAATTCACAAGAATGCACACTCCACAATAGTTACATACAATACGTCACCAAACAGACAATGTACTACACAGTACAATCAACCACACTTGAAACAACGGACACAGACAACAATACGCACTACGATGCAGTCACATGCATTGAACAACCAAGACACTTAAGGACTAAAGAGATAGAAAACCTATTCAGTCCAAAGTCCTTGGAACAAAAGTCTGAATGATACTCTTCCGAGAATCACTCACTCAAAGTCCAGCGTTGTTGTCGTTCCGCAGCTCTCTGAAGTTTCTCTTCCAGGAAACCTCCCGTCTTCAATTGGCCACTCTTCAAACTTCAACTTCTTCGCCGGAACCCGTCGGCTTCACACACGCAGCTGTTGCCCGCGTCTTCGCTCGATAGCGGTAAACCCACGCTCTTGCCTGTAGCTCGAGCCGTCCCTACGGACCAAAAACTTCGCCGATTACACGGCGGACTCTCTACGCACTCTGGCGCTCACTTCCGTCTCCTCCTGTTCTGTCACTACGGGCAGAATCTTCGCCGACTACACGGCGGAATTCCTACGCGCTCTGGCGTTAACTTCCGTCACCTCCTGTTCTGTCGTCTCGGCCGCTCGATTAAATACCTTCCGCGCCACCTTCCAGAAATTTCTGGTCATTTCGTCGGCGCGATACGCGGCGAAAGCTGGGAAGAGGGCGAGACAGTTGGAATGCCCTCTCCGGCCGGTGAGTCAACTCGGTATGGCCCCGCCCCCTTCGTTCTGGAAAAATCGCGGGCTTGCTGGGCCGCCGAAGTGGGGTGAGGAGGATCGTCTGCGAAGCCGTGCTTCTGCGGGGAGAGCGCGCGCCCGGGAGCCCTGGATGTTTGCTTTCTTTTTTTTTTTCTTTTTACCTCGCGGCGTTTCTGCCGCCCGTTGTCGCAAGGATTTGGCGGCGCGCTCTTGTTTAGCGCTCGTTCTGTGACAAAGACCCCTGCACCACGAACTCCTCATTACACCACTTCCCCGTAACATGCACCCCGACCACCACGATAAACGTCGCAGAGCTCGCGCTAAAACTCTACACCTATGTTACGGCGCCGAACCAGACGCCGTATGGGTAGACGCAGCCTGCGTGGGTGATGAAGCGGTCGCTGCCGTGGTGGATCACAATCTCTCTCCCATAGGTACACACACACTCCCTCCAGACACGTCCCCCGAAGCTTCAGAGGAAGCTGCCATTGCCTTAGCAATCGTAAACACAGAAGCACGGTACGTCTTATCAGATTCCAAAACCGCAATCTTAAATTTTGCACGAGGCCGAGTTCACGTCCCTGCTTTTTGCATACTGGATTCGCCCGCTGCAACCCCGCCCCGTCAAGTGGAGTTGATTTGGGTGCCCGCGCACTGCGGGAATCCTGGAAACGAGGCCGCCAACCTCTTAGCCCGAGGTTCTTTAAACCGGGCTCCCGCGGCCTCCGATCTGGGATTCACGAAGGACCGCGCGCACACTTTCAACGAGCTGACTCAGTCCTATAGGGCAGCACGTCAGCTATATCCCCCACCGCACAAGTCCCTGAGCAACCGACAGGCAACCCTCTGGCGCCAGCTACAAACTCACACTCTTCCCTCTCCTCTCATTCTATCGCACTATCACCCCCTTTTCCTCACCTCAGCCTGTACCCTTTGCCCTGAACCTCATGCTTCTGCTATACACATCCTTTCTCACTGCCCGGCGGATCCTCCCCCGCGGGCCCTAAAGCACCTAAAGACTTGGGAGGATTGGGAGACCCTACTGCGCTCAGAGGACCCGGTTGAGCAGACCATGGCGGCCGACCGGGCTGCCAGCGTCATGGACCACCACCAAATGAACGCTTGAGCGCAAAGGGGTCGTGCGGGGGCCCGGGAGCCTGCGTTCTCCAAACTCCTCTGTTGAATAAAGTTTTTCTCCTCCTCCTCCCATGTGCTCCCGCGTGGCGTGCTCCAACAAGACTTCGAGACGAGTAACAGCAACAGACACTATACAGTGAGTGTGCTCAACTTGCGAGGGAGCTTTAACATCGTGCAAGGTGCCCGTGATGAAGGGAATATTAAGTCGACCCGTGCGCTGCTTCTCGTTCTACTCATGATTCCCTTTAGCGGAAGATGATGTATGCTGTTTTACTCAGCTAATCATACGTATTACGGCTTCAATTGGTTCTGTGAGGTGAAATGAATTTCATTTGGTTCTGGATAACTCAGACACACCCCTAAAAGTGGTCCGCCGCAGTTGCTGGCCGCGCTCACGCCGGGAGAGGAAGACCATGGCCCTCCACCCATTCCCAGGCCTCCTGGACTACTGAGTATAGGACTGAGAGCTCGGAGCTTTCAAGGGCCCTCTTTCAGTCTTCTTCCGTGCTGAACATTGCACCATGTATACCGCCAGGCACTGCCAGAGCATGTGAGCGAACGTGCAGCTGTGTGCCCCGCAACTAAGGCATCCTGGATTTCTGTGAGGACTAGGGCATTCCGTGAGATCGGTGGGCGTTCACTTAGAGCGGGCCGTGTAGTAGGGAAATAATTTTCGCAGCAAAAATGGTCCTCACCATCGTCTGCAACGCCGTCATAGATAGAATATCAATGCTATAAGGCATGCTAAAAAGACCTATAAAGTAAAGCCGTACAACACAGTCAAATAGTACATTAAGCAAGTCGTTTAATCAATTTTTAAATAGGCTGTTCCGGTGAGTTACTCTTATGTGAAGGGTTCAGTTGAAGTTATCATCGCGAAGATCCACAAATGGAGTATATATTCAGGAACGATGCATTTCTGCGGATCAAAGAAAGTGCGAGATCTATGCTTGCGCAGAATTTTCTGCCCTCAAAGCGTCTTCAGCATAAGCATTATGCTTAAGCCTTGTCTAAATGACTTTTTTTTTAAACACGAACACTGCGACCACCAATACAACCACCACACAGCTGTCACCTCCTCTGACATCATCGATCTTCGCAGCTGCATTGTGGATAAAAAAAAATAACGCAAGCACTACAATATCGTTTTTAGAAAAGTTTTAAGACTAGTGTATTTTGCACCTGTGCCAAGCCCGACAGGCCGAGTTCCACATAACGAAAAAGAAACCGGAAGGGGCCAGGTGGGGCAAACGAGCATATTGAGAGGAAGGGGGAGGGGAAAACAGTTGTTTACAGCACAAGGAGCAACAATAATCGATTACCGAACATTTGTCGCCAGGCCTCGGCCGTAGAGCTACGTATGGATACCGCGAGACGTAAAGCTGGTCTGCTGTACATATTGACATTAAAGTCGGGGTAGCATTCACAAACAAGTACAGTCATCGCATCAGAATTGCTGATTTACCCGCAGTGCGCAAAATGAAAATGAGAGCGGAACATTCGTCACATACCACTGTCCCTGTTTTGACAAACAAAGCCAGACTGTCCAGTGCGCTTTGATAGAAGCTGATGATCGGCCTTTGGCGAAGGAATATATCTCCGGAATCTGGCCTCACAACTGAAGTTCCAAGAAAACCACACGAGCCCACACTGCAAAACTTGGCGATGACCGTCTTTAAGCGCTCCTTTGTAACTACGCTTCGCCATGCGTGTGAACTGCTAGTCATCCTGGCTCAGTGGCGAAGCCAGGGGGTGCCAAAGAGTCCGTGCCCCCCCCCTCCCCAATTTTTAGGGGAGAAGCGCCTTAGGGCCTAGTCTTGTTTTTTCGTCCATGTCCGTCATGCTACACGAAACAGAAAGTGGACACCTGCACAACGAAAAGCGAGAACATCTGTGCAAAAAAAACGTATTTATGTGTACACTGTGTACACTTATCAAGTATGCATGATCACCTGCGCCGTCCATCCGTCCGCGCATCTGTACGTACATCCTAATCAGAATCTTTACTGTAGACATTAAAGACCTTAGGACCTACCTTCGCCCACTCGTCATAATTGACTTTGTGAAGATGCGTGTTTTTTGTTTTATTTTTGTGGTGCCACTCAGAGCCCAAAACGACACTCAACTACATGCGCCGGCCCAGCCCACACTTTAGGTCAAAGAGATACGCCCCCCAACGAAATTTCGTTCCTACCTCTTTGTCCTGCCTCATGCTCTTGATCTATCTATCTATCTATCTATCTATCTATCTATTCTATCTATCTATCTATCTATCTATCTATCTATCTATCTATCTATCTATCTATCTATCTATCTATCTATCTATCTATCTGTCTGTCTGTCTGTCTGTCTGTCTGTCTGTCTGTCTGTCTGTCTGTCTGTCTGTCTGTCTGTCTGTCTGTCTGTCTGTCTGTCTATCTATCTATCTGTCTGTCTGTCTGTCTGTCTGTCTGTCTGTCTGTCTGTCTGTCTGTCTGTCTGTCTGTCTGTCTGTCTGTCTGTCTGTCTGTCTGTCTGCCTGCCTGCCTGCCTGCCTGCCTGCCTGCCTGCCTACCTGCCTACCTGCCTGCCTGCCTGCCTGCCTGCCTGTCCCACCTTCTTTTCTGCCTTCTAATTCGACCCTCTCTTAGATGAGACAGACTCAAAAGGCGCGCATTCCAGCGGCACCTTTACACGGGCCTGCAGCAGCTGCTGTTACTGCAGCCACATCCGCGCATCCGCTCGTCGTCTTCGTGGCGGCGCAGCTCCAGTTTCAGCGTCCGTCGACCGTCTCGTTTTGCCAGAAGGTTCCAGAAGCGGAAACATCCTACGCAGGCCTGATCGAATGGTATCCGCTCTGGCCGCTCCCCTGCGATGGTATGCATGCGTGTGCGTGCAGTACGGCGTACGACGCGCACACGCGCAGTATACGGCGTGATTAACGAGGGACGTGCGCTATTACTTCGAGCGAGAGCGGCTAATTCAGCTGCAATTAGTGGCTTCTCTTCGAGGAAGGCATATTTCATACGGGTCGATGCTGTTACTTCTTGTGGCACCGTAGCGAGGGTCCGGTGCACTTAAGTCATGAAGATTCATAGCGACCGGTTACGTAATCAAAATGGGGGAACACAACGTTGCGTCCTATAATAAGGTGGAGTTCTAGTTCGTATGTACGTTCTTTGTCTGGCAGAATTAGTAGACCTCCCTCGAATGAAAATGCGTCATGTACAAATAACTGTGATGCAATGTCGCCAATACTTTAATACAAGCATATACACACGCCGTGTGGCACTCAATTGGTGATTTTCGATTATCACGTCTGATTTTTTGCTAAAGGTGTCACACAGTATACGGCAATACCGGAGGTAATTTTGGAGGAGCGTCTTTACTAATCGGCCATTTCGTGGGTGCTACAGGTTGCATGGGCGCACAGCAACTAGAAACATCTTTCGATGCCATGACCTCATCCAATGATGCCTGAAGACGCGCGTGAATACAGGACTGGTAGAGTTTGTTCAAATGCAATGCTTGAACAACATCGCATAAGGCAGCATTAAGGAAAGAAAAAAAAAACTCGCATCCGTTTGTCTTTATGTGCTATTGTTCAAGCACCATGTATCTTCTGTACGCACCATGCACCTGTAAGCACCATGTATGCACCTGTAAGCACCATGTATCTTCTGTTAACGAAAAGCTACACGCCTTAACGGTGGCCTGTGCTGTCTAACAATGAGCTGGGACTATTTACAATTTATAAATATATATTCCGCAGCCAGGAATGTTAGTCTGCTTCATTTGAGGTTCTTATGCAAGCCATCGAGTCAGAACTGCCATTTCAGGCTAAAGAAAGGTGCCTTCTGGTGCTAAATAAAGTGTAACGCAAACAATAAGCTGTTACAAATGTTTAGAGTATGGTGTACCAGACACAGCAATTAGACTCAACTCCGTCATGAAGGCACAAGGTAAACGATACCTTTTTTTATCATTATCGAGGTGAGTTTGAAAGCGCTGTTCCTTTAGTTTCGCTCGAACGTCTCCTGCTTTGCTTTTCTTTCTTCTTGGTTACTATAGGCCTAACCTAGAACGTGCAAATAAACAACACCCTATGAATTATTGTTAGAGTCAGTTAACCGTTGTATAATACTATATGTATTAATCGTAATCCTGTCACCCTTTTTGTTTTGTTTTTTTTTTTGCTAACGCACATACCCAAATCAAGCAGTTATGAAAGGTGTTCTCTACGCTGTGAAACACAAAGGCGGCCATGCGGAGTTTATGGGTGTACAACGTTAACCCACAAGCGAAGCAGTTAAGCCGGAGTTTTCTAAAAATAAAGAAGCCGTTGACTGGGACTCTCGCGAGGACAATACAGTACACGACATACTCTCTATGTCCCGCAGGTCGCGGGATCGAATCCCAGGCTGTGGCGGCTGCATTTCCGATGGAGGCGAAAATCTTGTAGGCCCGTGTGCTCAGATTTGGGTGCACGTTAAGGAACCCTAAGTGGTCCGACATTACCGGAGCCCTCCACTACGGCGTCTCTCATAATCATATGGTGATCTCGGGACGTTAAACCCCACCCTGTCAATCAATCAATCACTATGTCTGAAGTAGGTTTTGAATTGGTATCGACATGATAATCTTTCTGCGTGTTCGTTTGTAGTCTGCCGCCTCGAAAGATGGCTACTCTTGTGTGAAAAGGAATTCCTCGTTCCTTGGGGTACGCATTTTTGCCATAATGCCACGAACGACCTATTGCACATCTTCAAGGCTGCCGAACTTTGCGAAGGCTTGCGCATTGTCAGCATGTGTTCTGTGCGGTCGCATCATAATCCTTTCTTCATATTTATTTTCAATACTGCTGCTCTAAGCATTGCAAGTACATGGCCAAAACAAATATCTCTTATGAGTATTACTTGGTCACTGATTTTCAAAACAAAACATCAACGACATTCTAAGTAAGCATGAAAGTGACAGCAATCCACGGGGTGAATGATGGAGAGTGGGGCGAAGCTGGGTCCGCATGCCGCTTCGG